CCCAGGACCCAATCAAGGTCCCTATCACCCAGCAAGGCACCCCACATCCAAACCAGCCCTGATTCCAAACGGCATCCGAGGGTTAGATCTATGGGGAGATCTACAGAGAACCCAGCTAGCAGGCAGCCTGCAGCCAACAGCCCCAAGCACACACCCGGAGAATGTCCGCTGAGCGCTGGGGGCGGGCTGTCCCAAGGCCCCGCTTGCACTTTGTCCTGCCTCTGTCTCGTCTCCCGCTCTCTCTCATGTTGCCCCACCTCGTCTTGGCCTGACCCCGGCCTGTGTCTTACAATCACCCATTGTGCTGGGAGTGGTGAGGCAGGCAGGGAGCTGTGTTCTCTGGGGCTCTGGAATAAAGGCTCCTGAACAGCAGAGGAAGTCACTCTCAATTAGCTGGGAAAGGGAGAAACACGGAGAGCAGAGAGGAGAAGCCCGGGGTGTTTCCTGCAGCCTGTGGGAATGGCCTTGGAATGAAGCTGATTAAGAAGAAGGAGGGAGACACTGATCCTGGGTAAATGTGGTTCTAGGGCCGGGACAGATGTCTATCTTCAGGGCACGGCATCCTGCAGCCCCTGCTGCAAAGGCTCGTCTGGGACGAGCACCAGGGTGTCCCTCTTCATACAGGGACCCTTTGCTACGGGTCTTTGGAACCTGCTTAGCCCCAAGCCAGGCACTCTGGGGATATATGAGGGGAAGAGCCCACGGTGGCTTCAGGACATGATGAGAGATTAGGGTCAAGGCCTGCCTGGGCCAGAACAGTTTGTCCAGCCCTTGGCACGCCTGTGGCTTGACAGAACTGGACATTTTGATTAGGGAAGAGTTTTTACAAGGATCCCCAGAGGCTCTGCTTTTTTCAGCTGGTGTGGCTGAGATTACCACCTGTTCCCATTTCCTCTGACCTCTGGGAAGTCGTTCTACCTTCCCCTACCCCCACTCCCACCAGAAGCTGAAATGACAGCGATCCTCTGCCTCACACTGTGCCCAGGGCCCCTCCCTGCCCCCCAGCTGCAGGCTCTGAGCTCCCTGAGGACAAGGGTAGTACCTGTCTCCTTCCAGACGAAACACCACGCATGCCCTTGAAACATTTGGGAAAGGGTAGAAGCGTGGGACAGAGGGAGGCCTGGTGAACAAGCTGGGCTGAGCTCCCAGCCTCCTGACCTCCAGCTCAAAACTCCCCAGTGGGTGTGAGAGTTTCCTAGGGAGAGTGAGTGCAGGGAACAGGTCTGGCCAGCACCTCCACCAGCCCCATCACCGGCAGCTGCTTGCCTTAGATCCCCTCCTCTCCCCTGTGGTCTTGACATTGCCTTGATCCAGCTGGGGTTCATGCTTAACCCAGAAAGGGCTAGAAAAAAATGTATGTCTAGGCCCAGCACAAGGCTGCCTTTGTGTGGAGGTCAGATCCCAGCTGCTCTGTGGCCCAACTCAGTGGAGCTGTCCCCGGGAGAACAGCCGTCTGGGCAGCTCAGAGCCCAGCCTGGGGACCAGAGCTTGAGGACCCTCCAGCTTCTTGGGAACTCAAGGAGACCCAGGTGAACTCTGATTCCTGCAGGCAAGCCTCTAAGAGCTCTCCAGAGGGACTGCAGCTTGGCAGTTAGGAGGCAGGGGCTGGCCAGGGCATGCAGGAGGGGAGAGGACCACACCTAAACAGTCCCAAAGAGGCAGCGTGCCAGTTAAGACTTCCACATCTTACTAGCTGTGTCATTCTGAGAACTCACTGAACTTGTCTGAGCTCAGTTTGCCCTACCACATGAGAATGATAACAGTGCCTACCCCACTGCTGCCATGAAGAGAAGATGAAAGATGAAAGTTTATCCCTGAGCACAGAGCCTAGCAGACGGTAAATGTTCAGTAAAAGTTGCTCTTATTAAGGTTCAGATGTGTGGGGAAGAACGATTTAACCCACTGTAATCCGCTGAAGACCCTCTCCCCAAACAGTCTTTGGTACAGATAGTTGCCTTTCCTCAATTTTATGGAAATGGCAGCTTCGAGGCCCCTTCCCACACGTGGCTGCGCCAATATCCTCTCCCATACAGAGTCTGGAGCTGGGACTCTTGGAGCTGCTGGGGAATCGTGCAAATAAGCCCCAGGGTCAGGCCAGCACACAGGGGGCACTCAAGCCATGGTGAATCTGGATCTTACTGCAGCTGCGTTCCAGAGCTCCCCCCACTCCGCCCTTCAAAACCCTGGAGGCTACACGAGTTGGGGTTCGGAGGAGTGTGACCCACAGGGAAGGCTTGTGGGAGCCAATGAGGTCTGGCACTGCCCTGGGAAGTGCCTGGGGTCCCTTGGGCAATGGTGCTGAGAAACCTCCTCAGCCCCTCCCAGATTGTCCCCTTCTTCTTATCACCAGCCCTAGATGCTAAACTCCCAAGGGCAGACCACTCAGCTCAGGCCCAGGCCCAGAGGGAGCTTAAACGTCTGAGGCCAGCTAGAGGTCCTCCTCATCCAGGAAGCACCCTGATCACCCAGTTCCCAGGTAGCAGGCCTTCCTTCCTCAGCCTCTGTGTGCCCTTCACCCAGAGCCTGTCTGCCCTCAGACTAGGAGCGCTCTGAGGGCAGGATACTGTCCATCTCAGTATCCCCAGCAGCCTAGCCCTGCGCAGAGGATGGAGAGTCCAGGTTTGCCCCCAGCCTGGCTGTCCCTACCAGGTTCCCGAAGTCCTGATAAACCAGAATGGCTCTGCTGCCTCCCCTACAGTTGACTCCTCCTTCCCCACCCCTCCTTTAAAGTTGGTGGCCCCCTTCCCACCCTCGGCCCTTGCCTGGCCCCTGGCTGCCAGCCCTCTCTGATGGGTCCCTCTCTGGGATTCCCTGCCCGCTTGTTTGAAACCTGTCTGTTCTCTGTGCCCCGCTGCTGCAGTGCTGCCGGATGCCAACTAAGATTAAGCAACTGAGGCCCAAGGGGCTCGGATTACTTGTTCCTCCTTGGAAACACTCCCGACACGGAATGCTCCACGGGACGCTGAACTTGCACCACATTGGCTCCCTTCCTGCCCCTTGAGTTGCAAAACACCAATGCCATCACTCACAGTCAGGACTTCTGAGCTCCAGGGCTTTGCTGTGCACAGTCCCCGGGTGCTGACAGCTGCTCTATAAGCGCTGCAGAGAAGGAATTATCCAGTCCAAGGAAAGAAAGCCTGAGCAAGCTGATGGGACCTGCCAGAGGTGACGCAGCAAGCTGCCCTGGCTCTCGGGAAGAGAGTGTGGCAGCTGCCTGGGCCCAGCTGGCCCCTCTCCTGGGCTCTCTCGGTGCCTTTCAAACCCTTCCCCTCAGAAATCGGTCAATGCTTTCCTTGGTCCAGGTCCCTCTTCATCTCTAAGGAAGAGCAGAGAGGCAGAGTCCACTCCAGGAAAGTGCACACCTCAGGCCAGATCCCTGCCGAGGCCACCCCAAGACACCCAGCCTGGGAGAGGGGCAGCTTGTCTGATGGCAGCAGCGAGCCCCGCCGTGGTGAGGGGATTGGCGTTTGATCTCCAAGGGACCAGGCAGCCTGGGGAGCAGGGTATCTGAAGCCCTGGTCTGGTGTCTCCCCTTGTTACACCTTTTACGTCTCAGCTTCCTCACAGACCATGGGCATGGTGACCTTGGCCCAGCTGTCTGCCCTCCAGCCCACGACAGTGCTAGTGACAGAGCAGAGAGGTCCCAACTCTGTTCCTGCCCTCTGACAGGGAAAGCCAAGTCAGAAGAAACTCTGAGGGAAGTCTTCAGAACAAAGGCTCCAGTCCTCTCCGCCTTCACTGGCCTCTTTATTGCCCCATTTGGGGACCCTTGGAACTGGCCTCCCCAGCTAGTCCCACTTTGAATGCTACCACCCACTCCCCTAAACCCACAATCCCTGTCTAGCCATGAGGAAGACCCTGGATGTACCCACATCGAAGAACATTCTATGAAATACACAACCAGGGCTTCCCTGGTGGCGCAGTGGTTGAGAGTCCGCCTGCCGATGCAGGGGACACGGGTTAGTGACCCGGTCTGGGAAGATCCCACATGCCGCGGAGCGGCTGGGCCCGTGAGCCATGGCCGCTGAGCCTGCGCATCCCGAGCCTGTGCTCCGCAACGGGAGAGGCCACAACAGTGAGAGGCCCGCATACCGCAAAAGAAAAAAAAAAAATACACAAGCAGTTCAACAGTCAGCTTGTCATCTCCCCCGACCAGCTCCCACCCAAACGAACGCCCAAGGGAGCTGGAGTGGCCTCGGGATCACCACCTGCCTTCTCTGAGGAGCCTGAAGCTGGGCAAATCACAGCTGAACTAACCAGCGCCTCAGAGGAAGCTCTTCACCCCTGAGACGTGACACAGACCAGCGACAAGACAGCAACAATGTACCATCCCAAGGACAGCACTGAACCCGGGAGGCAGTGACCCTCTGTGCCACGCACCGATTCCTTGCATTTTTTTTAAAAACGTCTGTTGTTGCTACAATATTGTTGTACAGCCAATAAAAATGAACAAAAGCTGTGTTATTATCATTTTGATGACTCGTCAGGGTAAATGATAACTCTGTTTCTCACAAGGTGCAATTATCTGGCAGTGAACGTCCTTGAAAGAGCATGTGGCCTCCCAAGCTTCCAGAAACATCTCTGCCAGCTCGGGCCGGCCAGCCTGCCCCTGGGCCCAGTCAACCCGCTTGGACTCTCCAAGGCCTTGCTTATCTGGGCCTCCTCCCCTCCTTCAGCAACGGCTTGCCCCGGATGAGGCCCCAGCTGTCTTTCTACCTCTGACCTCTCTCCTTCCCAAGCTTCTTGAAGAAAAAAACTTCCTCCCTCTTCCTTCCATCAAGCTTGGCCCTGATGGCGGCAAAGAGGGTAGGGGCGTGGTGGGGTCCCTGTGGGCATGGAGATCAGGATTTCCGCCTTCCCAGTCCCCCAAAGTTCTGTCCTGCGTGGGTCCCCTGGCTTGCTTCGTTAGTGTCCCGTCAACCCCCTCCAGCACACCCAGTACAGCTCCATCCCTGCCCTGGACCACCCGGCTCTGCCCAGCAGCCTCCCACCTGGCTCACCTGGAGAATTCAACTGGGCATCTTTCACCTTCGCTGGGGACGAGAGCTTGAGAGCATGGCTTAGGGGCTCTTTGGAGAGTGTGTGCCCGTCAGTCAGGGAGCTGGCAGGGGAGAGGGAAAACAATTGTTAGGAGATGGCAGACTGGCCTGGGCTCCCGATGCTGGCCCAGAACACGTCTCAGCAGCCCCGGGGGTGATGATGGCATCTCTGCCTCCCGGCTGAGTCAGGGGACAAGACCTTAGTAGCTGCAGGAGTTAACCTCGCCCCCATGCCACCCTCCCCCTTCAGGTTCTAAGGACTCAGCAGAAAGAAAAAGCAAGTCCTGCTCTGCCTTAAGTTGCTGTGAGACTCTGGGCAAATGCATGCCTCTCTCTGGGCTCAAGCGTCCCCATCTGGACAAAGAAAGCCTTGGGGTCTGGCACTGGAGGAAAACTTTGAGGGTTGGGAGGTGCCCCCACCCCCTTTCTCTCCACACCCACCAGCCCTCAGGCTTTGGGAATAGCCATGCTTAGGAACTCAGAGTGGAGCTGAGGACACTCCTACAGCTCTCACGAGTCCTAAGCAGGCCCCCAAGTGAGGCCCTCTCCCCTGCAACGGCGTCTGTGAGTGTGCCCTATGTCCATGACCTGATGGACAGAACTGGCATGGGACCAGGGAAATCTGGGGCTCTTGCCATCTGTCTTCACTCCTGGCCCAGATCCCCCTTGCCTCCCAGGCTTGGCGGCTCTGGACAATGAATCTCCTCTTCTGGTCAACACAGCCCACGGGGTTACTGGGCCTCCATTATCAACTCAGCCTCACTGCTCCTTGACATGATTCCTCCTCAGGGTTCAACTGGCCAGACCTCAATCTCCTGGGTGGATGAGCAGATGGGGTTCAGTATACACCTCAGGGTCAAGCAGGATTACTCAACTCCGGGGACACCTTTCACAGTCATCGGGTATGTAAACAGAGCCTACTGGAGTTGTGCAGTGTGCAACCTGTGCAGCTGGTCTTGGCAGCCCTGAGGGCAGGACCCTGGCTTCAGGGAATCCCACCTGTCTGTCAGGGTGGGGCTGGTCCCATCCCTACCTAGTCCCCAGGCAGCTTGCTCAGTTACCTGCTTCTCACATTCGTTCTCACTCCTTGCTGGTACCGCAGGTTCAAATTAAGTTTGCAAACCCATGCAGGCCCACCTGGTGCCAGTCTGTTTAAGAACCTGAGATAGGTTTTAAAGCAAAAGACATCATGAGGTTATGAAGGGAGGGCAGTGAGGAGGAGGGGGATGAGTGGGGTGCCAAGCTGGTCCCCTTCTTGGGAACTTTGTGAACAAGGCTGGGCCACGGGGCTGAAGCAGCCCTTCTGTTGCTATGGTGACCTGCTCCAGGGAGGCTGCCGGAAGGACTGAAAAGATGACAAAGCATGCTTCTGGGGTGAGGCCTGCTGTGCCAGGCAGAGGGAAACAGAGGGTTCTGAACACCGTGGGACTTGTCCTGCTGACTTTGGATCATCGGTTACTGCCATTACTCTCTTGGGTTGTTGAGTAAAAGCTGCCTCCACCTTGGGACAAAGAAGACTATAATGTTATCAAGTGACTCCTGCACTCTGAGCTCAGACAATTACAGGGCAAATGGGGGGACACGCACATAACTAGGCGGAGGGTCCCACACTGAGAGTCCGGGGGAGGACTGTGAACTTGGTGTAACATCTATGCTCTATCTCGGCCCCTGTCCTCCAAAGATAGGGCTGCCCACAGGGTAAACCAAGTGCTTAAAGCCAATCAGCTTTTGAAATCACCAGCTGTGGGCAGCCACCCCCAAATTAGCCAAGGCATCACTGGCTGTAATCTCCCACCATCTTAACTGCTTCCTCACAAACAAGCCTGTTTTTAAATCCTCACCATCAAAAGGTACAGGCAGCATTTCTGCCACCTAATAAAATTTGCATAAACTGGTTCTGGTTTTAAAATAGCTAAATGGGTTTCCCGGGTGGCGCAGTGGTTAAGAATCTGCCTGCCAATGTAGGGGACACGGGTTCGAGCCCTGATCCGGGAAGATTCCACATGTTGAGGAGCAACTAAGCCCATGCGCCACAACTACTGAGCCTGTGCTCTAGAGCCGCGAGCCACAACTACTGTGCCCACGTGCCACAACTACTGAAGCCTGCATGCCTAGAGCCTGTGCTCCGCAGCAAGAGAAGCCACCGCAGTGAGAAGCCCGCGCACCGCAAGAAAGAGTAGCCCCTGATCGCCGCAACTAGAGAAAGCCCGCACAGTAACGAAGACCCAACGCAGCCAAAACTAAAATAAATTAATTTTAAAAAAACCACCTAATTATCCAAATGAGTAAAGTATGCTCTTCCTCTTGGTTTGAACCTTCAAGATTTAGTCCCCTTAGGGGGAGGGTATCCTTGTCCATCATCTGAAACAGAATTTGCTGGACCCCCCTATAACTTTTTCCTGCTCACTTCACTCAAGGTCATACTAGTAACAAACTCTACAGGTCTGGCTTGTAACACAAAAATGAGCGAAACTGCATCGCGTCGAGGGCCATCTGCCCCTTCCCAAGGTGGCTGCTGCCTCACACGTCTTTGTTGGCCATGGTCGTCTTTAGTTTTTAATTCTCATCTGCATTACTAGTGGTCACTTCTTGCCACTGTCACTGTGCCGGCCTCTAGCAACTCACCTCCCTCCTACTTTACAGGGTTTTTTTGGTAGCAGACTAAGAAATAAAATATCCAAGCTTGTTAGAATTGTCAGTTAACTCAGAGGAGATGGCTTCCAAAGTGAAATTTATAATGTTTTCCTCAAAGAAAAGAGATTTGGGGAGCAATCCCTTCAGTTTTGACTCCTTAAAAGCATTTTGGGCGCCTTCTAATTCTTGCTGCCATGCCAGAAGGTACACGTGGCTGGTAAATGACCCCAGCAAGTGAGGTACGACTATTATAGTCAACACGATGAGCCTGGCAAAGGTGATTGACACGGTATCCCCGTCATTCTGGAATCTTAGACTCCTCCTGGAATACAGCGCTCCAGAACTTGGCTCAGTCCCAGAGGCGGAAGTTCCTAAGCAGCAGAATGACAGTTATGGTGGGAGAATGGCCCAAGGAGGCTGACTTGCCCTGCTTTACTCATTCCTAGGAGGAAGAAGATCCAAATAGTATCCCTGGTGAGGACGAGAATTGCTCTCAACCCCAGCTCACACTACACACACACACACACACACACACACACACACACACTATGAGCATCTTGCCTTTACTCACTTTCACAGAAGCAAAAACTTCTTCAGCACCTGCCCAGTAGCACAGGGAGCAAGAAAACACTTGAAGGGCATGTATGAGCAGACATATTGTGATGTGTGTGGGGCAGGCAGAGGAGTCTGGGAGAGCCCGCACTCTCCTCTCTCTGAACTGGCTCTCCTTTCTCCTCCGATCTTGGCAGAAGAGCTGATGGGAACCATTTAAAGACACAGCCTGCCAAAAGCTTCCTTCAGCTCCTCCAGGAAGTCCTCCCGGATTATCCCCAACACCTCTCACCCTTGTAGCCCTCAAACACTCAGGTTTGGGCTTTGAAGGCCACACGTGGCTTGGGAAGCTCCTTGAGAGTACGGGTCATGTCTGATTCAACCCTGACCTCTGTCCCTCAGTACTCTCTGGCATGCAGTTGGAGCTCAGTAAATGTTCGTTGGATCTAACTGTTCCCAAGTCGTCACTCTGCGTGTGACACGTAAGTCGAGGGGAGCCTTCGTTTTCCACGTGAACCCCTCATGGATGGGGATCCATCTCCTCTTTATTTCTGTGGCTCTTTCTTCCCAATCAACCCTCTGCTCTGTGTGCAGTAGGTGTTCAATAAATGCTTTCTTGAAATAATAGAGCGTTGAGATTTACCAGAGTCGGCCTGTTCAAGTCACTTTACTTGCCGTACAACCTTGGGCAAGTCACTGTACCTCTCTGAGCCTAGGTTTTCTGCCTAAATCCTATGGCCGTTGTGAGGATAAGAGGATACATGTAAAGTGCTTAGTAGATCAACAGCTCTCATCCTTACTGGTGAACTCTCATGGATCTTTTGGGGAATAAGTAGGAAGAAATTCTTTGGTGAGATTAGGATGGTGACTAAGAAGGGTGAAAAGACCCAATCCAAGTCTGGGGGTCGAGACACCCTGCCGAGCCTGGGTACTCGCTCTGGGAGGCAGCGTGGGGGCCAGGAGGTGGGAAGAGGGTGGGATCCTTGTTCCTTACATGGTCCTCAGGGTGGAGCTGGCAGACCTGAGCAGGAGTGCCTCTGGCATGGTCCCTGAGGGGTGGCCACACCCTGCGAGCTCACCGGGGAGAGAGTGAGAACCTCAGAGAGCTTGTCCCAGCATTCCCCGGGAGAGCCACATCAGCCCCAGAGAGGTCCAGCACCACAAAACCATCCTGCAATAGAGACACAGCGTGAGTCACCTCGTGGCCTGGCTGGGCTAAGGGGGCACCTGCCCTCCTTCCTGGACACGACTCACTGGCTCCCAGCCTCGGTACCGGACTGCAATTTACCGCCTCCTAAGCCCACATGCTCTAATCGCATAAGGAACAACGCAGCATTGCAGGAGGTGGCTGCCTTCGGCCTCTGGGCTCTCTAGTCCCCAGGATCAATCGGTCACCAGGATGAGCAAATACATCAAATTCTTGGGCCTCCTGCTTTGCAAAGACTCTTGCCCACTATTGGCAACCGTCCGGCCCCACACCGCCGTTTCTTGTTCTGGTTCTCACCTCTCTCTGCTCTGGGGGCAAAGGGAGAACCCTACTCCTATACGCCACAGGATGTTTTCAGTGGAGGGCGTTGCCCAAATACTTTCCCAAATCCTAAAAACCCCAAGTAGGGAGAGGAGCAGTGCCTCCTCCAAATCCCACGGTCCTGGCCACACAGGCTGGTCCCTCTGCACAGGCTGGAGCTCTCAACAGTGACCTAGTCTGCAGCGCTGCTTCCCACGGGTTTCCCCATTCCCCTGCACGGTGGACCCCACGCCCCCCACTGCTCTTTAGTCTGCATGACCTACCTGTCTCACCTCAAAGATCAGTGCCCCTGAAATCTCTCTTGTGATTCCTGACTCCCAACTGGAAGACCCCCACCGAGGACTTAGAGAGGACTGCATGCCGCGAGGGTCTGGCTGCCGCAGGCACTCACCTTCCTCCTCGGGGCTGGCAGGCACAGAGCTCAACATCCCCTGTGCTCCTTCAGCTAAAGCATCATGGGTGTCGGAGCCAGTGCTGCCGGGTCCCCTGGTTCCAGGTGATGATGCAGTGGGGCTGGGCGTCAGTGGGGACCCGCCCCATCCTGCCTTGGGCCTGTGGGTGAGGTGTGGCCCCAGATACCTTTGACCCATCTGGCTCAGGTCCTAGCTGCTCACCTGTGAGGCTTACATAAAGAGGGCAGGAGGCAGGGGAGGGGTCTAGATGCCAGTGCAGGTGGGTGTGTTGGCTGTCATCCTGGGTAGAGCCACACAAGGACACTGTTCCTGCCACTGGGCCCTCCACCTGGAGCCAGCCCTGGGCCCCAGGGGCTGGGCAGGAGGTTTGACATTTTTTTTTTTTTAACTTTTCTTTACTAAATGCACGCATTGTGCCAAGGGCTTTATGTGCGTTAGCTCTCTGCATTCTCCCAACAACCTAATATGGAATGTAGTAATAGTCTCATTTTGCAGGTGAGGTGACAGAAGCCCAGAGTTTTAGACTTGTTCAGTGTCACACACCCAGCAAGAGGCAGAGATGGCATTTGAAATCCAGGTCTCCATAACTGGCCCTGAAACCAGGACACCACATAAGCTAGATCTAACCATTATTTGCATCATAAAATTCAGCCAGGGCTTCCCTGGTGGCGCAGTGGTTGGGAGTCCGCCTGCCGATGCAGGGGACACGGGTTCGTGCCCCGGTCCGGGAAGATCCCACATGCTGCAGAGCGGCTGGGCCCGTGAGCCATGGCCACTGAGCCTGCGCGTCCGGAGCCTGTGCTCCACAGCGGGAGAGGCCACAATAGTGAGAGGCCTGCGTACCGGAAAAAAAAAAAAAAAAAAAAAAAATTCAGCCAACAGCTCCATCTCACATTGCCTCTGGCAAGCCCCTCTTCCACGGTAACAATATCTCTGCACGTTGCCCTCTTGTCCTCAAACGCCCCCTCCACTTGCACCTCATTCCAGAGACTCTCAGGTTTGTGGCAGTAAACCTGCATCTTCTAAAACTTGGGCCATGCTCTCTAGAAACCCCCCTCCCAACCACTGTGCTGTTTCGCCTCCCACTCCCATCACCCCAGAGCTACCTCCCCACCTTAGTTTTCACCTGCCAACTGCCTTGGGGTGAGTGGGGATTGGATGAAGTAAAAAAATGGAGGCAGTCCCACTGGGTGTTAGGGGGAACTTAAGTCCTAATTCGAAGGCTAAGAGTCAGGGCATAGCAGCAGGATGGGGCAGGAGTTGTTCCAAGGCCCTCCACCCAGTCAGACGGCAGATGACTTCCAGATTGCTACACTAAGCTGGCCTGTCACTACCAGCACACCAACTTCAAGAGAATTCTGCCCTTTCAAATTCCAGTTTGTTTTTTGGCTGCAGTGCATGGCACGTGAGGTCTTAGTTCCGCAACCAGGGATTGAACCTGTGACCCCTGCATTGGAAACGCAGAGTCTTAACCACTGGACCACCAGGGAAGTCCCAAATTCCAGTTTCTTAATGGCCTTTTCCCCCAGTGATCCTTGCCCACTGCCACCTCAGGGCACCCTGACAATTTGGATTCGGGGTGTTGGTCCTGAGCCTCCCATGAGTTATGAGCCCTTTGAGAAACTGCTGGAAGCCCTCCCCTGGCCCCACCATCAATGTTTGCAGATGGTCTCTTGCAGTTTCAGGGCACCCAGGGGGCTTGGGAAGCCCATGCTATATTAACAACCAACCCAGTGAACCCCAGAAGGGAATGCGGACTCTTCCTCTGTCCTGAAGAGAATACGGGCTGCCCCTCTTCTCCTCCTCCCGCTTTCCTAGTGAGGACAGAGCATTGTTGTTGATGATAGGAGTTGGCACTGGGGGTCGATGTGGGTGGGCATGGCGGGAGAAGTGTCCTCACTTCGGGGGTCTAGCAGGAACACGTGCCCAGATCCCTCAGCCCCTCCCGGGCAGCTCGACAGCCACTCTGGATGTAGAGTTCCCAAACTGACGAGGAGGCTGGGCAAATGGGCTTATTCTAGGCAGGAGGGCTTGGGAAATGTGTCATCTTCCCTTTCTATCCCCTAGCGCAGGGAGATCAGCTCGGTGCTTTGTGACCACCTAGAGGGGTGGGATAGGGAGTGTGGGAGGGAGGGAGATGCAAGAGGGAAGAGATGTGGGGACATATGTATATGTATAACTGATTCACTTGGTTATAAAGCAAAAACTAACACACCATTGTAAAGCAATTACACTCCAATAAAGATGTTAAAAAAAAACAGAAAAGCCACAAGGTTGCCTCCCCCTGGCAGAAGCTTCCAACTGTTCTTCAGACACTTCCTCCTCCCGGAAGCCCTCTGGGAGGGACCCCCAGCTCTCATGTTTCTTCCTGGAGCTGTCCTGGCTGAGCCCATCCCAGAGCACTTAACATTGAGAGTCTGGGTGTTACTTTTTAAAACATAATTGTCTACCCTGAGATAAAAACCTTAAGCCCATATTCTCAGAGCTGGAAATGATCTCTCCCCGCCCCATGACGGATGGCTCTGCGACTCTCCTCCTTCCTACTATGATTATTGACTGAGTGCCTCCTCTGCAGACATTGCAGGGGGCCTGGGGGCAGAGGTGAGCCCAGTGAGCCTGGTCCCTGCCTGGAAGGCTTGGAGATGATGGGACTGACAGTCAAAAAACAAAGATGCATTCAAGGTCACTGTGGGGTCACCAGACCCAGGCTGGGGTAGGGGGTACAGCAAAATTAAAGGGAGAAAGTTGGATAGGGGTGAAGGTTTATTTTATGAGAGGCAGAGGGTAAGCGTCCCAGGCAATGGTGCAGCAGGGGATGCTGGTGCAGACAGAAGAGGATACAGGGCCCTGGTCATAGACTCAGGCTGTGGACCGTCCCCGGCCTTGGTCCCCCAGCTCACAGGGGGACCTTGGTCAATACAGAGATCTTTTGGGGATCCATGGTCTCTTGGAAAGGGTGAGGACGGGGCAAGGGTGGTCTAAGACATATCCCCCCAGATCCACCAGAAGGAACATATTTGGGGCAGGCACTCAGGGGCCCTTGACTGTGACTGAGCCCCCAGTCTAAGGGCCCAACAACAGAGTGTTTGCTGAGAGGCCAAAGGCTAGTCCCAGCTTCACCTTGGCTCCCACCATCCATGGTGGTGGGGCCGTCCCGCCAGCCAGCTGACTTCTAACCCAATTGGCAGTGGCTCAGTGTTTAACCCTGTCTAGCTAATCACACAGTCTGCACGGTCACGCTGAACTCCCCTGCAAAGCCTGGAAGGAGTCTGGTCATGCCCAAGACAGGTCCCTGGGCACTGGGACATCTGGATTCTAGCCCAGGTTCTGCCTTAGTTGGGTAAACTTGGGCAAGTTCCTGGTCCTCTCTGGGACTCAGTTTCCTCAGGTAAGTCACAGACAGAGGGCCTTCCAGTTTTCTGTCTATGACTGGTGATTTGGGAGCCTGAGCTGGAATTCTGCTGCACCAGGCAGAGACAAGGCTACGAGGTTGGGTGTTACTAGGCTCCCAGGCCTGAGGAGCCGGGGGAAAACAAGGCAAGAATAACGATAGTAATGGCTAATAGCTAACAGGTATGCAGCACTAACTGTGCGCCAGGCAATGTTCTGTGCACCTTACACATATATTAACTCATTTAATCCTCACAACAGCCCCGTAAGGTAATTCCTATCACTATCCCCACTTTACAGATGAGGAAACTGAAGTACAAGGAGATTATGTAACTTGCTCAAGGTCTTTCAGTTAGCAGAGTAGGTTGCAAATTTGCGCAAGTGGGCTTCAGTGTTTATGCTCTTAACCAACAGGCTACACCTCAATAGTCTCAGGTCTGCTGGGTGATTCGAGTGGGTGGGGCAGGGGCAAAAGGGCGGGAAGTGTAGAAAGGTGGGCACCCCATGGTCCTCTAAACTCCTGCTTCCAATCATTCATCATTAGACCCTTCTTTACACCCTTCCTCCAAAATTTTGAAAAATTTTGTATATAGCCAAGGTTTAAACCGTGAAACCATTTTCTTATGTTGCATTGATGACAGACACAGATAACTGTCAATTGGTGTCTTGAATCATCGCTGGGAGAGCAGTATGAAGCTTGGAGTTGACATAATTCCAACACAAAGCAAAGGCTCCTAGAAAATTGCCATTTGTACGTGAAGTACCACGAGTTTGACTTTGGGCACATTTCTCCTGTTAGGACTTCAGTTACTCCATCTATAAAATGAAGGGGTG